ACCCACACACACACACACACACACACACACACACACACACACAGTAATCATAAAAATACAAAATGGCCCCCAAGCAAAATATAAAGTATTAATAATGAAAGGCCATTTAGGAAGCCATAGCAACGCCACGGGTTCCGTGAAGGAGCAAACTCGAGGTGTTTAGATACTTAGCAGCCTTTCTGGCAGACAGCTAAGACCTAGTCCATCAACCTTAGGCCCATGTTGTAAATATGTGGCGAGTGTGTCAACACCCTAGGAAGGGCTTTAAAATGCCCAGGTAGAGGCACATGGTGCATATGCAAGAATGTTAATGAGAATTTGAGAGAGACATCTCTGCAAGTCATTCCACCACCGTATGCCTGGAAATATAAGCTGGGCCTGTGGGCATTCATTACCTGTGTTCCGCAATCTCACCCCAGTGCCTCAGGGAACGATGAACCCTGCCTTTCCTCCCTGTTCTTGGTGGCCAGGGCTCGGTCTCCATAGAAACTGCTGCCTCCTGTGGTCCAGTATCCCTTTCAGCTGCTGCCTTTTTCATTTGCAGTTCTAGACTAAAGACGTTGGTCTTACCTATCCCTGAGGTGAGCCCCCCTCCCCCTTTGTTTTTGTGATCCCCAGCATGGTGTGTTCGCCTGGAGGGCTCACTGTCTTTACAGGCCTAGTTTGCTATTTCTGGATTTTTTTTTTTTTTGACAAGTTCTGCTAATTACAGAAATTAAAGCACCATCTCTGAATCTGTCAGAGCAACTGAACGTTGATGGATTCCTTCTATACACAGAGCTCATTTTTATACGTAGACTGTGAAGGCCATACAATCTCTTAAACAATTCAACAAGTAGCTTTGAAAGAGTTTAAAAAACTGGATGTGTTCTGCTTACCTGCTCGTCTGCATGCAATACCTGTGGGGGCCAGAAGAGGGCAGTGCATGCCCTATGATGAGTTCCAGCTGGTTGTGAGAGGCCCCGTGGAGGCCGGGGATTGAAACCAGGTCCTCTGCAACAGCAACCAGTGCTGTTAACCCCTGAGCCATCTCTTCAG